TCAGCTGCACAGGAACTGAAAGATAACAAGGAAGGTGCAGTGGAGTTTTAGATTCTAGAAGTAGACAGTGTATAGGGTTAATGGAACTTAATCTGTCATCTTGCTCAATTATCCTATGTCAAAGATAGTTTTTTCCTGTATTTAAACATTTCCGTGTAACAGTAGTCCCAAGGGCTTATACCACCCCACTTACAGTGGCATATGCTTTTGGGCAACTGGATTTCTTCTTAACCAAGCAATGAAAACAGGTAATTACCAAAAATCAGCATGTATGACCAAAAGGGCAAGTCATGTCATAAAATGAGAAACTGAAACTTTTAAATCCACGTCTGTTAAGAAGATTAAAGTATTATGTTAGTTTCTAACCTTTAAACTACCATTAAGAGTATCAAGTGTTTCTCCAGTTTATATCAAGGCCAAATAATGAATTTTAAAATTAAGACAAAATTGACAAAATATTTAAATAATTTATAAAACCCAGAGACATTGTGTCTGCTACTGAGAGAAAGAAAGGGCATCTGGAAAGGTTGAAATGAAGATGTCGAGGGACAGCGACCCCAGACCTGGAAAAGGATTTCAAAATCAGTGGTTATCAGGCACTGCCTTAACTTCAGCCTACCACTCAGACTGTTTGAAATCCAAAGAATATGAGGTAGGAAAAGAAACACACATACATGACAGTGTTCACCTTTTAATGTCTCCTTGGCTGGCTTAGCAGCTAACTGCTCTTCTCTTTCAAGATGTCTCTGGTTCCTGTGCCCACTCCACTTCTTTCTGCCCCCCTGGCTGCAGTGGTTTAAGGTCTTTTTTTTTTTTTTTTTGAACTTTGATATAGTTTCATGAGTCATCAGTACCTCGTCTGATAGGCACTGGCTTGGCATAAAGGTGTGTAGCATTTAGCAGTGAACAAAGCATCATCCTCAACCTTGAATAACATCCTTTCAACTTGGAAATTTATTACTGTGTGTTTCACAAAACAAGTAGTTTTTCTGTGAGTTCCCAGGGGTCTGTTTTGACCTCTGCAGACAGGTCAGAGTGAGAAAGCAAGCAGCTCTGCCCACTGCTCCAGTTTGAGAGCCAAGTTGTTCGCCAGCCCTTCACGTGTGAACGCTGCAGCCCCACCTCGGATCGGGGTGGCTCTGCTCCACATACCGTCTTCCCAGAAACCTAGGCTGAAAGAGCCTCCGCCATCAGGGGTATCCTGGTCATCGTGGTGGAAGGGAAACACAACAAACTGCCCATTGAAGACATTCTTGGTCCTCTGCATTTTCATATAAATTTAGAAGCAGTCTGACAATCGCTGCCCACCCCCCCCCAAAATTCCAGAATTTGGATAACACTTACTTTTAGATTAGTTTGGGGAAAATTACAATGCTGAGTATTCTAAATCATGAACATAATATATCCCTCCAATATCTAAATTATTATTTTTTAAGATTTTATTTATTTGACAGAGAGAGAGAACACAAGCAGGGGGAGAGCAGGGAGAGAGGGAAAAGCAGGCTCCCTGCTCCACGGGACTTGATCTCAGGACCCTGGGGTCATGACCCGAGCTGAAGGCAGACGCTTAACCGACTGAGCCACCCAGGTGCCCTGATCTAGATTATTTTAAATACGTACTAACCCACAGTATTTTCTGAATATTATATGCCGAATCATTAGCACTTTACATAAATTATGTCATGTGGTCTTCACAATAAAGCTGAGGAGGTTCTAGTTTTATTTCCATTTCAAAGATGGAGAAGCTGAAGCTTAGCAAGATTAAGTAGCTTGCCAAAGGCCGCAATTAATAAGAGGTGAGAATCCAGGCACTCTGCCTGTAGAGTCTGTAGACTTTACCACTATGTGACTCTATCTCCCTGAGCTGACAGCTGAGGGAGAGGGGAAAGGAGGAAGGGGGATAGGGGTGTTTTGATGGGAAGATGGATGGGTGGATGGAGGGAGTCTTCCCAAGGTTTCTTGCATGTGCTCTCACTACTGCTCAGCATCTACCTGGATACATAATTGTCCAAATAGCAACTGTGTCCGATTTCAGCATTGACACAGAGAGTCCTTGTTTGTGAAACTGTTTCTCCTTCTATTTTGAATGTTAGCCTTGCTGGATAGAGTATTCTAGGTTGCAGATTGTTGCCGCTTAGCTCTTTGAATAGATCATGCCTTCCGGCTTGGAGAGTTTGTGCTGAAAAATCGGCTGCTTGCCTTATGGGTTTACCCTTACAAGTAACCATCTTCTTTTGTTTTGCTGCTTTTAAGATTTTTGCCTTACTACTATATTTTGCCGGTTTAATATAATAGGTCTTGGTGTGGATCTGCTTTTGTTGATTTTGTTGGGGGTTCTCTGTGCCTCTTGGATCTGGATATCTGTTTCCTTACCCAGGTTACGGAAGTTTTCAGCTATTATTTCTTCAAATAAATTTTCTGCCCCCTTTTCTCTCTCTTCTCCCTCTGGGATCCCTATAATACGAATGTTATTATGTCTGATGGAGTCACTGAGTTCCCTAAGTCTATTCTCGTTTTGCATAATCCTTTCTTCTCTCTTTTGTTCAGCTTGCTTACCTTCTAGGTCACTAATTTGTTCCTTTGCTTCTTCCACCCTGTTGTCATTGCATCACACCTGTTTACTGTCTCATTTATTGTCGTCTTTATCTCTGAACAGCCATTTCTTAACTATGTGGTAAGGGTCTCCCTGAAGTTAATTGTCCCCTCAAGTCTAATGATCTGCCTTATTCTAGATTCTATTCTCTATTAGACAGGCTAGTTGTACCTGTTTTTCTTGGATTTCTGGCTGTGGCCTTATTTTGTTCTTTCATTTGGTGTAAATTCCTCCACGTACGCATTTTATCTAAATCGTCTGCCGCCTTCTCTGCGTTAGAAAAGCCAGTTGTGTCTTCCGCTCCTGAAGGCAATGGCCTTATGAAGAAGAAGTCATGCAGTGCCCAGGGCCTGGCACTTCAGTAATGTCTCTGGCATGCGCTGCATGCACTCTGCTGCTGTGTTTTGGCTGCCCTGTCCTTTGGGCCGTTTGTCTGCAGAGGCTCTCCTTCCCGGCAGTGAGCTGTGTTTGGTCCCTGGTTTGAATGTGGCGAGTTTTAACTAGGTGTGCTCTGGTTTGCTTGTTAAATGTGACCTGATAACTCCTTCCACTGGAGCCGAAGCCCTGCAGAACACTTCGGTCAGGAGACGTGGTGTGGGCAGGGGTTTGTGTTGGGTCTTCTGGCGGAGGGGGCCGCTGCCCGGGGAATGAGACAGACTGGGCCCGGGCTGAGACCGGAGCTTGATGGAGAGGGGCAGTCCCACCAGAGTGCCGGGCGCCGGGGCGCAGTGTAAGCTGGTTAGGCAGCCAGTGTCCCGCAGAGCTGCCTCCCGCTGGTGGCTCTGTTTCTGGGAAATGGTGCTGGCCAACTCCTTTGTTCCTGGAAAGGTGTCTCTGTCTCTCTGGAGAAGAGTGAATAATCTGCCCCCAGTTGCTTGCCCGCCTTCCCTCCAGGAGTAGGGCAGTACCCTCAGGGCTCTATTCCAGCCAAGTCCTCCAGTCTTTTAAAACTCCAGGCTTTAAGCCCCACCAGTTGCAAAATCTCACAAATTTCAGCCCCTCTCGCCTTCCAAGCCACTGGCTTTGGGTAAACTGTTCTCCTTGTGTGTATCTCCTGTGTGCTCCTCTCTCCCAGCTCTGCAGCAGCCAGGAGCCGTTTCTCCCCCTCGCCAAGTCTCCGCACTTCCTACCTTCTTTGGTGTGGCTTCTTCTCTCCCTTTAGTTGTGGAGTTTGTTCTGCCAGTATTCCGGTTGGTTTCTGCGGGTATTTAGGATGATTTGAGAGTTGTTTTTTTTTTGTTTTTTTTATGTTATGTTGATCACCATACATTACATCATTAGTTTTTGATGTGGTGTTCCATGATTCATTGTTTGCATGTAACACCCAGTGCTCCATGCAGAACGTGCCCTCCTTAATACGCATCACCAGGCTAACCCATCCCCCCACCCCCCTCCCCTCTAGAACCCTCAGTTTGTTTTTCAGAGTCCATCGTCTCTCATGGTTCGTCTCCCCCTCTGATTCCCCCCCTTCGTTTTCCCTTCCTGCTATCTTCTTTTTTTTTTTTTTTTAACATATAATGTATTATTTGTTTCAGAGGTACAGGTCTGTGATTCAACAGTCTTGTACAATTCACAGTGCTCACCATAGCACATACCCTCCCCAATGTCTATTACCCAGCCACCCCATCCCTCCCACCCCCCACCACTCCAGCAACCCTCAGTTTGTTTCCTGAGATTAAGAATTCCTCGTATCAGTGAGGTCATATGATACTTGTCTTTCTCAGATTGACTTACTTCACTCAGCATAATACCCTCCAGTTCCATCCCCATCATTGCAAATGGCAAGATCTCATTCCTTTGGATGGCTGCATGATATTCCATTGTGTATATATACCACTTCTTCTTTATCCATTCATCTGTCAGTGGACAGCTGGGCTCTTTCCACAGTTTGGCTATTGTGGACATGCTATAAACATCGGGGTGCATGTATCCCTTCGGATCCCTACAGTTGTATCTTTGGGGTAAATACCCAGTAGTGCAATTGCTGGATCATATGGTAGTGATTTGAGAGTTCTCTAGCTGAGTTTGGGGCACTTGGTGAGCCCATGGCCCTCCTACTCTGCCGCCATGTTTCCCCCCCCTCCTCCCACACCGGAAGTCCTTATCCAGAGCTTCCGGCCAGCTGCCCTGCCCCAGAACCCCAGGGTGTGCTCCTGTCCGGGTGCAGTGGGGGACAGTCACTCAACTGCTCACTCTGGGCTCCCACTCTGTCTCGCCACTCTCCACAGATCTGGGTTTTTCTGGAAGCCGGATCCAATCACAGTGGTAGATGTGGGATAGGGATCAAGGACCAGTAGAGGGTCTGAGCCTCTGTCAGGCATTAGGAGAGAACATCTAGAGCCCACACACTGGGACTGAGCGTAAGGTAAGTACAATTTTTGTGATCCTCTCTCTCTGTCTCTTATAGGATGGCTGTTCCATAAGGTCAAGACTGAGTCCCCTCCCTTCTCTCACTTTACCAATGCCTGGTCTCATGGGGTTAGTTTTGAGCCCCATACTATGGCATCATCATCCTCCTTCCCAGCTCCTCGCTCCCGGTCCAAGAAGCCTCTGGGCAAGATGGCTGGTGAGTGGAAGCCGACTCCTAATTCTGCTCTTGTTCACAGCTATGAGTGTACCCCTCAGTGTTCCTGTTGGCGAGGTGGGAGGACTGCCTGGCCCATGCGCAGCAGGAGATGCAGGGAGGCTGACAATGGTGGGCTCCTGGGCTCCGGCCTTGACCTCAGAGCCCAGATGCTTTGTGGTGAGTGAGGAGAGAGGCATGCATCATAGAACCTTCAGTCCTTTGGGCTCACAGCTTTTCCATGCATGCTCAGCTAATTTTCCTAACCTGGAAACCATGGTGCAGAGCACTTAGCATTGTGTCTCTTGTCATGGAAGTCTTTCTGAACCATTTAGAGGAAGGAGCCAAGCAGAGTGAGAAAACAAAGTAATCTCCAGAACATTAAACTTTCTGTCCTTGTCAAAAGCTGGGGAAGCTGAGCTGATCTCATAATGGAATACTTACAATATACTAGATACTGCATTATCTCAGTTACTCTTCAACAACAATTAAAATGAACCTATGTTACAGATGAGGAAATGGTAGACATAGACTGACTTGCTTAAGGTCATACAGCAAGCAAGCTGCAGGTCAACAATCAGATCTATGCTTGGCTCCAAAGTATAGATTGTGAATCACTAGGCTCTCTGCTTTTCAGGAGCTCTGAGCAGTAACCCTCCTCCACGCTTTTGTTTTACCATTTAGCAACAATCTGGGATTTCCTGGGGCCAGACAGATGCCAATCCCTCCCCTCTTTCCCTCCCATAATGGGTAGCCCACCTTAATCTGAATCCACCTCCCCTCACTGCAGAAAGTGGGTTTGGGAATTGATTAATCCTGACCAGCTTAACATAGCTCTACTTACAGATTAGCAGATGGTTGGCTAGTCACTACTAGTGGGAAGTCTGGGGTAGAGTAAACTGACAGTACCAGAAATCAAAGGGCCTGGAATAGGGCAAAGACATCTTTCCTAATCAGGCTGGTGAAAGTCAGAGTTCTTTCCTTTCTTTGTTCTATTGTTGTTTATTTAATTATTGAAGTGTAATTGACATACATTAGTTTCAGCAGTACAATATAATGATTCAATATTTGTATATTTTGTGAAATGATCACCACAAGATCTAGTTAACATCCATTACCATACATAATTACAGAACTTATTTTCTTGTGATGAGAACTTTGAAGGTTTCCGCTCTTGGCAACTTTCAGAGAGGGAATATACAGTATTATTAACTATAGCCAGTATGCTCTATGTTACGTTCTCACGACTCATAAAACAGCCAGTTTATGACTTCCCCAAACTTTAAAGATGATGGGACCTTCAGGGCAAGTCCTGAAGGATGTACAAAAGAGCAGAGCCGTAGGTCTCTGAGAGTCTGGTGGCATGGTCTGCCCGTGGGGGGCGATGGGCGGACCTGCCAGGTGTGGGGTCCTCTGTGCAGGGCCATGAGGACGCAGTCTGGTGAGACTACCCGGCCTGAGCAGCGTTTCTCTGCCCCACAGACTGGTTCAGGCAGGCCCTGTCGAAGCCCAGGAAGCTGCTGGACTCTGCAGAGAGCACCTCCAGGGACGTTTCACAGCCGAGCTCCCGGGACGACCCCCCACCCCTGGGCCTCAGCTCAGCCTTGTCTCGCACGCCCCCGCCCACACACGTGGGTGCTAGCAGCAGCAGCGGCCGCTGGAGCAAGGACTATGACGTCTGCGTGTGCCACAGTGAGGAGGACCTGGTGGCCGCCCAGGAGCTGGTCTCCTACCTGGAGGGCAGCACCGCCAGCCTGCGCTGCTTCCTGCAGCTTCGGGATGCGACCCCAGGTGGCGCCATCGTGTCTGAGTTGTGCCAGGCCCTGAGTAGCAGTCACTGCCGGGTGCTGCTCATCACCCCAGGCTTCCTGCAGGACCCGTGGTGCAAGTACCAGATGCTGCAGGCCCTGAGCGAGGCCCCTGGGGCGGAGGGCCGCACCATCCCCCTGATGTCGGGCCTCACCAGAGCAGCCTACCCTGCTGAGCTCCGGTTCATGTACTTCGTGGATGGCCGGGGCCCCGATGGTGGCTTTCGCCAAGTCAAGGAAGCAGTCATGCGTTGTGAGCTATGGGGGAGGGCTTGGGGGGGCGGGCAGGGAGAAAGGGAGCTTGGCCGCAGCGCCACAGTGTCTGGTCCGCTTTGGTTTTTAGGAGACAGCCATTGTAGCCCCGTAGCTCAGAATGCAGGCTCTGGAAGAGACTGTTACTTGTGGAAGTTATCTGACGCCTCTGTACTTGGGTTTCCCCATTGGTAAAATGAGAATGATACTATGTACCTAAATAAGTATATACACTAAGCAAGTGTTCAGACCACGGCCCTGCCCAGGTAAATTACTCCTAACAGGCAGAGCCTACCACATACCAAGTTCTCAATAAATATCAGCCATTATTATCATTATAAGTATTAGGTTTCTCTCACTGAAGTCAGGTTGGAGATGTCCACCCAGAGCCAGGAAAATGCCCGGAGGGACATTAGCTTATGAAGGCAAAATAGTGCAAAATAATAGGAAAGAATTGTGTATCTGGGGGTGGGGGTGGGACATTATATTACAGTGGGTTTGGAAGTGAAATAGATAAAAAGGTAGAAGAGGCAGGACCTATTGGAGGAAACAGATGCTAGGATTTGGGAAGGGTGACAAGCCCTGTGATTCTGTTCGCTCTCTTGCAGATCTGCAGACCATCAGCTGACACTTCTTACATCACCATGGGACCCAGAAAGTTGGAGCGAAGCTGAAAATCCAGTTGAGAGAGCCCAGGGCCTCACAGGGCCTCGGATTCCAGCCACTGTGACGAGGTGTAAGGAACCAAAGTTTGTAGCACTTTGTATGTAATCCTGGGGTTCAGATTGCCCATCGGGCACCCATTACTGTAGGCTCCCCAGGAAGGCCGTGGGGAAGCTGGGGACTCCCCCAGGAAGGTCATGGGGAAGCTGGGGACTCCCCCAGGAAGGCGTGTGGAAACTGGGGACTCCCCAGGAAGGCCATGGGGAAGCAATCATAGGTGTTAGGAGGTGCTGATACCAAGATCACCCATGTTTTGCCTCCTGCCTCACTGGACACACACAGCCTGGCACATACCTACATCTTCTTCCCCTGGAACTGGGCACTGGGATAGAGAAGCATCCCCCGCCCCGACCCGGAAGAGGTGACTCACCTGGGTCATGAGCTAGAAGCCAGGGCTGGTTTCCCCAGTGGCCTGGCATCAGGAGAAAGCAACAGGTACCAAGTCCTTCACACACTACTGCCCTTCTTTCCCAGGGACGTTGTCCACTCCAGAAGGGTAGAGGAAAGATGCATTCAGCACTGTACTCTTATTTATTTTTATTTCGTGTGTGACATGAAGACGCAAACCTAGAAACCATTCTGAATAGTTGGGAGGGGGGCAGGGAGCAAGCTGGCTGAAGAGAAGGAAAAGCTCAGCCCCTGTCGCTGACTCAGAAGCCCACCCACCGATGCTTTCCCTCATGGGGGCCTCATCAAAGGTCTGACTAGAACTCATGCTTTTACAAGCTTCTTTACCTCTGTACTGAGAGAGGTCAGCAGTTTTCTTCTGGCAGATGATTGTGTACCTCGTAGGACAAAGTTTCATCTGTTCTCAGTTAAGTCTGTTGTTAAACTGAAATGAACTTACTCCCCTGATGGGTATTTTGTGCCTCTTCTCTCGCTTCCCCCTCCTATGTCCCCTCCTTTCACTGAAAAAATTTATATATTTGAGATAAATTAACATATTAACATTAGTTTTAGGTGTAAAACATGACGACATACATATTATGAAAAAATGTATTTTAATTATGTTTTATTACATACAAAAAGACTATACTGCTTAAGAAGCAAAACCTTACAATCCCTATGATGCCCCCTTTATGCCCTTAATCACCTTCTCCCCATTAGAACAATTTTGAATTCTGAATTTTGGGTTTCATTGGCTTTTCACTTACACATCCCTGACCACGTTTACCTTTACATGGTTTTGTACTGTATGTAAATGGTATTATAATGTTTGTATTCTACAAATTCTTTTTGTTGACCACATGTAAGATTTATCCATGTGGATGCATGTAATGCCAGGAAATTCACTTTCATAACAATATGTAAATGTACCAAAAATGGACATTTGGTTGTTTCCCATTTGTTGCTATCAAAAGCAATGAGCTTATGAACATTTTTGTACACGCTTCCATGAGATTTTCTAGGATTTAGCTGAGATGGGGAACAGCTGGGTAATAAATACACATTTTCAGTTTGGGTAGAAAATACCAAATTTTCTTCCAAATTTATGTCAATTTATGTTCCTACCATTTGTGTATAAGATTTCCCACTTTTTCATGCTCTTACTAAACATGTAGAATCATCAGAGTGTAAAACGTTTGCTGATCTGGTGGGTGAAAACTGGTATCCTATTGCCATAATATTCTTTTTCTCTTTTTTATGAGAAATTCCATGTATATCATATACCAAAGGGGAAGAGAAAAATCTGATGAATCCCTGTATACCCCTCACCCACCTTCAACAGTTGCCAACTCAGAGCTAAGCTCCTATCAATAACTCCAATTCCCTCCCCACCAGATCCCTTTGAGGCAAATCCCAGGGATTATTTTATTCCTCTGTATTAAAACTATGTATGTTTTTAGGAGTTTTTAAAAAAAAATGTATCTTTTAAAGAACAGAAAGCTTTATTATTTTTAAATATATTTTAAATATAAAAACGTTTACCTATTACTGTATTCTGTGTTTTTGCGTCTTATTTAGGAAATCCTTCCCTGTTCCTATAATTTCTTCTGGAGCTCTTTCCCATTTAGATCTTTAATCCCCTGGGATGTTTTGCTTGGATTTGATTTTTGTTGTTGTTGCTTTTGGTTAGTCAAAGGTCCAATTTTTTTTGCCATTTGAATAGCCATTTTTTACTGACTACTAGTCAGTCCATCCTTTCCTCCTACCAATTGTGAGGTCACTGCTGCCCTTATATTGTCATGTGTGGGTGTGTCTGTGTATCCCTGCATCAGTGACACACTGGCTCATTTACTATGATTTTTAAGAAATCCTCATGCCTATAAGTATTTTTATTGGGCTTATATTGAGATGAGAGATTAAGTTGGGAAGAATTGATCTTTTTTATATTGAATCTTTCTCTCCAGAAAAATGGTATGTCTCCATTATTGGTATCTTGAAATGCATTTCAATAGTTTTATAATCACTTTTATTAATTTATTCCTTAGTGCTTCATATTTTCTCTTGCCACTGTAAAAGGTATTTTTATATTTCTTATCTATTACTGGTAGAAAGGATCACACTTCTTTTGCATATTGATCTAATATAAAGCAACCTGCTGAATTACTTAAAAGACCACAGACTTTGTTCGATTTCTATAATCATATAATTTGCAAAACAAAAAACTTTAGTTCCTTGTCTTTTTGTGCTGCCTAGGACTGCCAGTGTGTTGAAAGTGACAATAGCAACTATCTTTGTCTCATTTATGCTTTTAAAGGGAATGCTAACATTTCTCCGTTAAATGTGATACTTGTTAGAGATTTTTGGTTTGGTGCAAATTTTTTTTTAACAAGTTGTAAGTTTCCTCTTTCTAGTTAGGAGTTTCACATTATCTTGAATGTGTTTTAAATTTAATCTAAAATGTCCCCATCTACTGAGGTGATGTGTTTTTTTACCCTTTTAAATTGGTCAATACAATGAATAACATTAGACTTTCCAATGTTAAGCCAGCCTTAACAATTTTGGGGAAAACTCAATTTGTCCATGATGAATAAACTACCTCTGTTATAAATCACAGGATTCAGATTGCTAACATTTTCTTTAGGGTTTTACATCTATGTTCATATGTAGAATTGGCCCATAATTGTCTTTTCTTCGGTTGCGTTACCAAGGTTAAACCAGCCTTCTAAAATAGTTGGGGAGTGGATGAAATGGGTGAAGGGAATTAAGAGGTAGTTTGCCAGTTATAAAATAATTTAAGACATAGGGATGTAATGTATGGCATAGGAAATACAGTAATATTGTAACAACTCTGTATGGTGACAGGTGGTAACAAGACAAATAGTAGTGACCATTTTTGTAACGTATACATATATTTTTAAAGATTTTATTTATTTGCCAGATAGTGAGCGAGCATAAGCAGGGTGAGCAGCAGGCAGAGGGAGAAGAATCTGGGATCATGACTTGAGGTGAAGGCAGATGCTTAACTGAGCCACCCAGATGTCCCATTTTGTAATGTACATAAATACCGAATCACTGTTACATACCTGAAACTAATACAATATTGTATGTTAATCATTCTTCATTTGAAAAATAGCTGGGGAGTGGTCCCTTTTTTCTACTCATTAAAGAGTTTAAGCTTGGAACTCAATTGTTCCTTGTAAATTTGGTAGACTCATCTGTTAATCCATTTGGGCTTAGCATTTTCTTTGTGGGAAAAAGATTTAAAACCGCAATTTCAATGTTTTAAAGAGCTGTAGATGTGTTGAGATTTTCCATTTCTTCTGGAGTCAGTTTAGCATAGAGTAAGCAGTCAATGAAAAATACAAGACCAGCTTAAATAACTTTTCAATTTGAATTTCCTGGATCACATAGACAGTACAAATCTGAATTCTAAACCTGCAGATTGGCCTGTGGTTATGAATTTTCAGGGGATTTTTTTCTTCCCTACACAGCCAGACGTTGAGACAGATAACCTTCCTAAATATCTTGTCTCCTTTAGTGGGGAGCTTTTGTTTTGTTTTTAGTAGTTGGCCCTTCCATTGAGGTGGTGGACCTTAGAGATCTTGACTCTAAGGGAAATGCTCTCTTCCAATCCCTCACCTGGCACAAACCCCCAGGGCTTGTCTCCTGTGCCTTAAACGTCACAATGAAAGCTTAAGGCTAGGGGCACCTGGGTGGCTCAGTCAGTTAAGCGTCTGCCTTCAGCTCAAGTCATGATCTCAGGGTCCTGGGATCGCCCCGCATTGGGCTTCCTGCTCCGCAGGAGGCCTGCTTCTGCCTCTCCCACTCCCCCTGCTTGTGTTCCCTCTCTCGCTGTGTCTCTGTCAAATAAATAAAATCTTTAAAAAAAAAAACAACTCAAGGCTCTATAGACTTCCAGAAACCAGCAATCACTCTTAGAACTGAAGGTTCGGTGTCCACTTAACCATTCTGTAGACTCATACTCCCACATTTTTCATTTCTGAAAATTTTATTAAGAGAGCAGCAATGTAACCAAATGGATTTTTTTTTTAAAGCTTTTTATCTTTTTTTTTTTAAGATTTTATTTATTTATTTGAGAGAGAGAGAATGAGAGATAGAGAGCACGAGAGGGAAGAGGGTCAGAGGGAGAAGCAGACTCCGCTGAGCAGGGAGCCCGATGTGGGACTCGATCCCAGGAGTCCAGGATCATGACCTGAGCCGAAGGCAGTCGCTTAACCAACTGAGCCACCCAGGCGCCCCCAAATGGATGTTTTTAATTTTGCAGCCAGGACATTCAAGTTTTTTTTTTTTAAGATTTTATTTATTTATTTGACAGAAAGAGACACAGCGAGAGAGGGAACACAAGCAGGGGGAGTGGGAGGAGAAGCAAGCTTCCTGCGGAGAAAGGAGCCCAATGCGGGGCTCGATCCCAGGACCCTGGGATCATGCCCTGAGCCGAAGGCAGACGCTTAAGGACTGAGCCACCCAGGCACCTCACATTCAGGTGTTTTTAGCTGACCTGTTTCAGGATATCTCATCTATCACAAGGCCTGAAATGGAAGTGTCTAGTCCTTCTTTAAAATAAAATTAAAAAAAAAAAAATTTGGGAGAAGTTTTGGGATTCCTCAAGAAGACTGAAGGATTAATGCTGATTGACAGACTTGCCAGTAATAACCTTCTAATACTGCAGTTAAACTTTCTGTGATGGTAGAAATGATCCACATCTGTGCTGTCCAGTGTGATAGTCCGTAGCCGTATGAGGCTATCAAGCACTTGAAACATGGCTGTTGGACCAAGGAACTGAATTTTTAATTGATCTAATTCTAATTAATTCAAAATGTAAATATCTACATACGGCTAATGGCTGTTAAATGTGACAGTGCAGGGCCTTCTAATGTTTCCAAGCAAGAGAAACTAAAAAATCATCAATAGACAAATGCCTCTGAGCCAAGCGAAG